ACCAGGCCTGTCTTCCAAGGTACCTTCTGGTGGATGTGAACTTGACATTGTGCCGCAGCCCTGCTGCCCTTGGATCTGTGGAAATCCCATGTAAACTTTCCCACTCACCCCAAGAGCCCAACTCCTAGAACGGCTTCCTTGATCCCTTCAGTACACAGAGATCCCCACTGTTTTGGAATTTTGAGTGTCTGTATGTGTGTGCCCATATTTGGGACTTAATTTACATTCATTTTCTTGATATTTTAAGACTTGTGTCAATCTCTTGCCCCCAGGACAGACTGCAGCCATTTCAGCGAGTAGACATTAATGGGTTTGTAGTACTCACTTACAAGCCAAGCAAAGAGCACATTATTCTCCATTTTTATTACTGAGGTAAGGAAGTAAAGAGACCGTATGCAGTTTGGCTAAAATCAACCATTAATCAATAGGGGGATACATGTGGGCCTTGAATCTTAGGCGATAGCCAAGTGCTGTAACTATTACTAAATCCTCGAACTTAAAAAAAAACAACAAAACCACCCTGCAAAACATTAAGTAAAAATTGCTCAACCTACTTCTTCCCTCAGAGAAGAAAATAATGGCAACCACTTAGATTTATTTTAGCTAAACTTTCCATTCAAGATATTGGTTGGAAAGACAAAGAAACTGGCATTAAATCCTCTTGGAACAAAATAGAATGATATTCTCAAAACGCTGCCTGTTTGATTGCAGGCTGGTGGAAAAGAGACATGGAGCCTCATGCTAATAAAAGCTTCTCTTTCATCTCAGAACATCGAATTCAGTATTTGTCTCCCAGACATAACCATCATCGTTTGCTCCTGTGTTTGGTGTCCTGTCCCTTTCTTGGTAATTATTCCTGGGCGTAACAAAGATCGAGCTCCACCCAGGAGTGAGATCCCAGTCAATAATGAGTTGGACTTCTTCCTTACTAGTATCAAAGATAGATCGTAATTTATAATGTGCTACGTATCTGGAAAGAAATGAAAACCAGAAAAAGCCCCACAACTTCCAACAATGCATGATTACACAGTAGAACTGAAATATCTCTGTGACTCATTCTACCTTTCCTCGGCTCCCCCAAGACTGTCTAGACCTGGTGCAAAGATGAATCGACACCATGAGGGTGCAATAAACCTTAGTCCTCCCCAAAGGATGATGTCCCTTCTCATAATATGAATCCCAAGAAAATCTACCGTGAATTTGTTTCTTATTAAAATTATGAAGTTTAATAAGCCATGCCTTGGAGACCTCCCTGGTGGTACTGATCACCCATGAGAAGTCGCTCACTTCCGGATGACCGCCTGCCTTTTCTCTTGGTCCCCAAACAAAGTCTGGATAGAGAACGCATCCTAGCTAAATCCATGGGAAGCCTCAGCTCTGCCTCTCTTCTTTGAGCTGTGGAAACTCTCAGATTCAATTCAACAAACCACTGTGCTTTTACTGTACATTTCCTATGTGCTGGACATTTGCTGTGTCATGTCCAAGTTCAGTCTGAAAGCCACAGGGATTGTTCTCAAGTAACTTAACAGAAACCTGTGTGTGTACCCCAAATATTACGTAAGTCAGCTGTCCAAAGGATTATCTTTGGCTTATCAACAAAGGAGAAAGGAGGAGAGAGAATTAGTTGACTGCAGAGACCAGCCACATCTCCAGAAATTAGATAAGAAGTGAGTTAGTGCAAGGCAATCCAAGAACACACAAAGTTCAGGAGCTAGGACTTTAAAAATCAAGAGAAATTATTAAACTAAGTATTAGAATGAACATTTCTCTTCATTTGTAATATGTTTTGTAATAAGTTCAATGATTTTAATTAGAAACTCGCCAGTGAATCACATTTAGAATGTTCCAGTGCCCCCTCCCATGATCCCACCATGAAGGCCCTAGAGATTGTGGTTGTCACGCACACACTTTTGCACTAAGGCCCCCACTTATCCAGAATCAGTTCATACACACATGTTCATACATCCCTTTCAAGGTGTCTGAAAGATATGAAAGGAATATATCCGTTTCTCTATATTCAACTTACTGTGCATCCATGGTAGTATACACACACACATACACAGGTACATATACACACAGGTACATATACACAGACACACACAGACACAGGTATGTATACACACATACACACAGGTACATGTACACAGACACACACACAGACACAGGTCCATATACACACATACACACAGGTACATATACACAGACACACACAGACACAGGTATGTATACACACATACACAGGTACATATACACACAGGTACATATACACACATACACACAGGTACATATACACACAGGTACATATACACACACATACACACAGGTACATATACACAGACACACGCATACACAGGTACATGTACACACAGGTACATATATAAGTGAGTATATACATGTACACAGAGACACGTTTACCCATATAGGAACACACATATATGTTTGTGTGTACACATGTATATAAACACACCCAACTCCCTAATGTATAAAGATACACCACAAAAAGAGAGCACAAATACCTAGAGTGTGAAACCTCATAAGCAAATGTTGTTTGAAATGGGTAAAATGCAATTGAGAGCTAAACGGCGATCCTTGCTCCCTGTAAGAGCAGCTCCTTCACTCCACTAGAGAAACTGAAATATGCGTGTGTGTGTGTGTGTGTGTGTGTATATATATATATATATATATATATATATATATATATATGTTAGTGCTTTTATTAACTAATTTAAGTTGACGTTTTCTTTTTTTTTACTTCCTAGAAAATTAGTATTATACCATTAAATCTCTGATTCTATATATATATATATATATATATATATATATATATATGTTAGTGCTTTTATTAACTAATTTAAGTTGATGTTTTCTTTTTTTTTACTTCCTAGAAAATTAGTATTATACCATTAAATCTCTGATTCTAAGCATTACTCCCTTCTTAAATGTGGTGTTATTATATTTTATTTCCCAATAAAATATGCCTTATTTTATAGTGAAGAGTAAAATTGGAGAAGAGGATTCTCCTGAAAACTCTTGTAGTTTCAGATGTTATAAAAATATGCATCATTTAAGGCAACGAGAGGGAGTGGTATCTACCAGATAAATGTCTAATACTTTCAAATGATTGAAATTCAACCTGGACACTACTGTGCATTGCGGCGCCCCTCCTAGTAGCCGAGAGTGAAGAGAAATGAAGGGTCATCACCGCCGAGTGGGGACCAGCTGGAGAACGGACACAGCAACAATGTACTCCAGCAGGAGGAGGATGCGGTCCTGAAGGTGGGCCCTGAAAGCACCCTGCTTAGCAGCCTCATAGCCACTGCACAAGGGACAGCCCCGGAGGATGTCCCTTCTATACAAGGAGCAACTATATGCAAACCAACGCCGACCAGTGGTCAGCAGGAGTGGGAGGGAGCGGGAAGGGGGGTTTACTTCAGAGGCGTTGTTTCTGTTAATGATAGTGAAATAATTGCACAAAGGCTAGCAAGAATGGTTGTATACCATGAAAAATAGAGTCAATGCCACTGAATTATTCATGAAAAAATTATGATGATTTGATGCTTATTTTTGCCACAATAAAAAAAAATGGACCCACGAAATCCACTAGGTAAGGCCAATAAAAAGCCTACTTAACCCCTGACACAGTTTAACCTCTTGCAACTTCAAGAACGGTCCGTAGACCAACAGAATTGGCATCACCTGGCAGCTTGTTAGAAATGAAGAGTCCCGGCTCTGACCTAGGTCACTGACTCCGAACGTGCATTGACAGCGCCCACCACCTCATCTGATCTGTATGCACATTAACGTTTGGAAGCACCACTTAGTCAATTGCAGAGCTTCCTGGAGGCTCCCTGAAGAGATACTATTCCATGCATTTTTAATTTGGGATAGTTATCTTTTCAAAGATCCACAGACCCCCAAACTAAGTATTTCCTATGAATTGCCTAAATTTGCATTAAGACACATCCCCCAAATCTGGTGGCTTCCCTATTTTTCATTTTGCATCTAATTTCAGTTGCTGTGTTGTGTCCCTACCATGCATGGTCCCGACCACCCTCTCCAAAGGAGATCCAGGTGAGCACAGGAGAGAAGGGGGCAGTCACTGATCGGAATTAGAGAATCCTGTTGAAAACGGACTGGCATTACCATTGCATATGGACATTGTGACATGCTGCCACTGTTGCTTTCTCCTCTGAAGGTTGTCTGGAACTCGAGTCTACAGAGGGCTTATAAAGGAAACCCTCCAATCTCCTCTCCGTGCCAAACTGGTGTGAATTCGAGTCATTGTACATTTCTTTGCCGAGGTATTCATCTCTGCCATTGTTCGTTCATCTTCAGGATATCACCTTGAGAGGCCGCGGCGATGACGAGGAGTCCCAGCATCGTGAAACATGATTGCCAATGCATATGACTCTGCCACTCGTTAACAAGCAGAGTGGGAAAGATGCCACTCTAGTTTCATGAAGATCTTCCCAGTGTCTCATGGAGTCTCCTTACTGTCCCCAGCCTATGTGCCCATCATAGATGCATGTGTATACAGAGTCTGGTGCATGCATCTCATGAGATACAATTCAATCCCAAAGAGAAATGCCACAACCTGAATGACCTTTGGGAAATGTCCATGACAAAGAGACCAGTATTGCACAATCGCACTTAGGATAATTATCTAGAATATAATGAACATAATTATCTAGTAATGTATCCAGGTATGTTTATACAGATCAAAGTTAACCAGTGGTAACCAAGATTGGGAAGGGGGAAAGGAGGGAGGCAAAGGGGGCCTCATTGCTTGAGGGATACTAAGCTTCTGTAAGGGTGATGGGAAATATTTGGAAATGCCTAACAGTGATAACTGCAATGCTACCATGAGAGGTCCGGTGTTATGCTACATCTAGTTACCAAAAATAAAAACCAAGCGCCCTTGCTGCAGCAACAATGCTGGCAGGATGTGCGGGAAAACACAGCTACTTCAGATCTGGAAGCAATCAAGGAAGCTGACATACCTAGGCTGCACCCCAGACATCCTTCTTCACAAGGCAGGCATTCTTCATAGTCCGGATCTTGGACTTCGTCTACACAGCAGCCAAAATGAGAAAGCACAACTGATTTTCATTGGATGGAGAACATTTATTGTTATGAATACATGATGGCGTGTAACTCATTTTCAAATGCATCATAGAGCAATTAAGATCCTCCCAAACCATCCTTGAACATATGTGTGTCACCTACTTTTTACCTACTCTGTCATTTCGATAAATTGTATCCATTTTAGTGATTACCAACAAAAGGTTTGACTCTACGTCATGCAGCTATATTTAAAGTCAAGCTCCTGGATCTTGAAGAAATACTTCTTGCTACTGGGAAACTGGAACTATAAATGAACAAGATCTGCTTTTCTTTGTATCTGCCTTCCCAAACACTTTTTTGAAACTCACATATATCTTATACTACATTGTAAACATTAAGAGGAAAAAGATACAGGGGACAACACTAAACCTACAGGTTGGGGAGAGGGGCCGGTCTGCCATGCGCACTCGGAAGCAAACCAAGAAGGAAAAAGAGAGAGTGAGGTTCTAGACCCCATCGTTGCACACCAAGCCCTGAGGACGACGTCCCTGCACGGAGCTGTGAAGGCACAGACAGGGCTGTAGGGCCGACAACAGCTCGAGGCGTGATGTCCCCTCGCTGGAGAACACTGTGACAGAGGACAATACTGGGCACACATGGCCTGGACTGAGTCCAGTTTGAACCCCCCAGTGGGGTGAACCAAGAAGGGAACTTAACAGATCAGCAACAGAAGCAAAGCCAAGTCACAATGCTCCTGAGGAGCCCCCAAAATAGACTTCAGGCTAGGAGGGGCAGTTCCTGGAACCCCCCAGGACTGGTGGAGAGATAGTCATAAAAGTCAGCGGAAAGACCTGGAATTATGTATGCTTTTGGGGTTTTTTTTTGCATTTCCCCCCTCACTTTTCTTTTGATCTTTTGTTTTCATTTTGCTTTGTCTCTGTTGTGGTTGGTTGGCCGACCTATGTATGACAGGCAAGGGAAGCAAGCCGGAGGAGAAAGCAGCCGGACCAATGGTTCTGGAGGAACTTGGTGGAAGGAGGAGGAAGCGGGGGAAGAAAGCAGTGAGCAAACAGCACCATAGACAGGGGAACAACTCGGGAATTAAAATCAACAATGAGGAGGATGTAGAGATCCTGGTGGTGTTGGAGCAACAGCAACCTAGCTGAGACGAATTCCTAAGAGGCAGAAGAAGGGTGAGCATGCTAGTGAGACAGGAGGAAGAGAAAAGGAAACAGAGGAAGACCTAGGAAGCGAAACTATGGATAAGAGGTATAAACATAGGTGTGCACATATGTAAATGTATTAATTCATAAAAATAGAGGTATTGGCCTATGAACATCTGTTTATATGGCAATACACTGAGGAACTCACAGACTTTGTGCCTCTGCTCAAGCCCTCCCTCAACACACGAACTCTTTGTTCTAACATCCTGGTACCCGGTGATGCTCACCCTCCTGACACAATTACCAAAGACAAAATGAGTGCATAAGAAAATGTGGTGAAGAAAGGTGATGGTGCCCGGCTACCAAGAGATATAATGTCTGGGGTCTTAAAGGCTTGAAGTTAAACAAGCGGCCATCTAGCAGAGAAAACCAGCCCACGTGGAAGATGCGCACTAGCCTGTGTGATCATGAGTTGTTGTCAGATTAAGGAAGAGGCATCTGGAGACCCAAAACACAACAACATAATGTTGGGAACGAGGTGGGTCAGAGCAAAGACCCAAAACCCATCTGTAGACAACAGGATATCACCTCACAGGGGCACAAGGAAGGGATGAGTCAACTGGAGTGCAGTATAGCACCAATGAAACACGCAATATTCCTCTGGTTCTTTAAGGCTTCCTCACACACACCCTACTCCCTCCACCCCACGCCCCCCACCACTATCATGACCCCATTCCTTCCTTTCAGTTCAGTCTAGACCAGAGCATGTACACTGGTACAGACAAGAGCTCACGACATGTGCAATCCAGGTGAGATAAAATCCTCAGGAACAGAAATGGGAGTAGCAATACCAGGAGGGTAGGGGGAAAGTGGGGGGATGTGGTAGTTACATAATCTGGTGTCAGTTTGAGGACTAAGAGTATAGGGGTGGAGTCTAGGCTGTCCATCAGGATATAGCCAATGAGGCCTCTGTGTGGGCATGGCCTTCTCCTGAGAATTCTGGGAGCTCCTGTATTTTCCTCCACGGAGACTCTCTCTACTCATTCCCTGAGAGACATTGCAGCTGACAAGCCACATGGAACTATGCTAGTGCCCTGAGCAGGAGAAGCCATGTGGACCTACCCTGACCTACCTCTCAGACTATGGGCTTGGACTGGACTGGGTTGGGATGCGTTCTTAATGTACAATTACATTTATATAAAACTCTCTCTTATAGACATATGAGTGTCTATGGATTTGTTTCTTTAGTCTACCTGGGCTAACACAGGGGAGGAGGGGAGAAAGGGGGAAACCAATTGTAATGATCAATGCAAAACAACCCCTCCCCCAGGGGGACGAATAACAGAAACGTGGGTGAAGGGAGACAGCAGTCGCTGTAAGAGATGAATGGAATGATTTATCATTGATACAAGGAGTCACGATGGTGGGAGGGTGGGGAA